ACCTGCGAATTTTGCGTTCCTGCCAGCACTGATCATAGCATGGAACTCCTGAGTTCCTCAATTAGGACAGGTGATGACTAGCAATGGGGGTCTGGCAAGAGTTGGGTTGAGCCACTAGAAGGGGATGAAGGGGGGAGCCAGTTGTGGGAAGTTTCCCCCCCCCCCCGAAGACTATGAGCCATTCCTTTCTGGGCCTGATGTGTTTTCAATGCCATCACCAAAAGCAACCTCAACTAATAAATGGATGGAAACTGATCCAGGAGAGATTCAACCTAGAAATAAGGAGAATTTTTCTGACTATGAGAACAATCAAACCATGGAACAGAAGTTGCCTTCATCACTGGAGGCTTTCAAGAAGAAACTGGACTGCCATCTGTCAGAAATGGTGTAGGGTCTCCTGTTTGGACTGAGGGTTGGACTAGATGACCTAACAAGGTCTCTTCCAACCAGGGGTGAAATCCAGCAGGTTCTGATAGGTTCTGAAGAAACGATAGTGGAAATTTTGAGTAGTTCGGAGAACAGGTAGCAGAAATTTTGAGTAGTTTGGAGAACTGGCAAATACCACCTCTAGCTGGCCCCAGAATGGGCTGGGAATGGAGATTTTGCAATATCCTTTTTTTTTTTTTTAATTTGATTTATATGCTGCCCTTCTCCGAAGACTCAGGGCGGCTTACAATGCGTTAAGCAATATACGGTATAAAGAACGGGAGAGAAAAACAGCGTATTTACATTTTAGCTTTTACTTTGGACAAGTTTTATCTTCCCTTTCTTTTCCATCTGGGAAATAGCCATAAAAATATTTGAATGATTCAGGAGAATCGGTTTCTGGTCAGCAGGAGCTGAGGCTGTTTGCTTGCAATGAACCACAATGTGGCCCAAGCAACCACATGTGACTCCAGATGTGAAGTCAAGGCATAAATGAATCTAAGGGTGAGGGGGGAGGGAATCATAATGTCTCCCCCCCCCCCGCTTTCTTTTAACTTGTAAAATCTTGCCCTGTTTAGTATCAGTGACTGTATATGAGTTTACATTACTGGCAACAAGGAAGGAGTTCCCATTATTAACATGTGCTTGCTCCTGTGCATATGTATGTATCTACGTGGGTCCTAAAAGCAGTGAGTTTCCGTGTCTGTATCGGGGGTGTGTGTCACAGATTTGTGTATGTTTACGTTAAAATCTGTTTCCGTAGGTGCGAGTGACGGGAAGGAGGGAAGAACAGTGAACAGCGTACAGGGCATCCAAGATTCCAAAGCATTTTTTTTTAAATCATTAAAAACTCTTTTCCTTTTAAGTTGCCCCATTTCTAGGGGAGTGAAAAATCCCAATTCCGTCTTTTTAACTATGGGATTATCCAGCCCTACTTCTCTTGTGGCCCAACAACACCGTAAGGGCCATAAATGACGTCATGATTTTGGATTCACAACCTTTGATACTCTGGTGATATGATTGTTCGTTATCATCCTCATCATCATCCTTCTCCTCCTTATCCTCTTCTCTTCCTTCTTCTTCTCCTTCTCCTTCTCCTTCTTCTTCTCCTTCTCCTCCTCCTCCTCCTCCACCACCACCTTCTCCTCCTCCTCCTCCTTCTCCTTCTCCTCCTCCTCCTTTTCTCCTCTTCCTTCTCCTCCTCCTTCTTCTCCTTCTTCTCCTCCTCCTTCTCCTTCTCCTTCTTCTCCTTCTCCTTCTCCTCCTTCTCCTCCTTCTCCTCCTTCTCCTCCTTCTTCTCCTTCTCCTCCTCCTCCTCCTTCTCTTCCTCCTTCTCCTTCTCCTTCTCCTTCTCCTTCTTCTCCTTCTCTCCTTTCTCTCCCTCTCCTTCTTTTTGCTTTTGCTTGACTATCCTGGCATTGATTGGTTGTAATAAGTCCATTATTGATATTCCTTTTTAAAAAGTTGGCACGGTGTCAAGAAAATGTCAGAAGGACTTTTCCTTCTGCGCAATTCTGGACATTGCTGGCCTCTCCAAATATATGTGGAAACCAGGGAAATAAAAACAGGCGAATGACTGAAGGGACAAATGGTTCTTGAGCTATACCAGGTCAGGAAATGTCCAGAATGATTTAATAATGAGATCATGGTGAATGTCAACTTTTAGCAGCAATGATGGAAATCAAGATGCCATTGGTAGTCACTTATTCAGTGGAGATTTCATTTGATTTATTATATATATTTCTAACATTTTCCCTGGTGTCCCGACTGGTTAACATCAATGTTCACCAAATTTTGCCACGCGCGCGGAGGTGCATTTCACCCTGCATACTCATTGCAATGAACGCAAAAGCAGAAAAACATTAACACACCAGCATCACAATCGAGACACTCATCACATAATTACTCAGCCAACTTTCTTCCGATGACTTCCTGATGACTGCAAAAATCATCAACCGTCATCCCCTCGACTAGTTCTCTGATGAACGGAAAAGGAACAGAGAGGTGGGGAGGCCGACTTCCAAGTAAACATGACTGGGGGAATATTCATTTGAATTCTTATTCATGGATTGGATTGACTGGAATATTCCGGAAAACAAGTTGACTTGGCAGGTCAGTGCATGGAAAGAGGAACTAAGCATGGCACATGCCACTGTTTATGCCAAGCGGATGCTGGATTCCGACAGAGTAAACATGATTCTCGGATTTTGGATTTTTAACTTGCAGCAACTCTGTCTATTTTAGCGTTTATCCAAGTCAGTTTTTTCCTCTTGCACTTGTCCCTGTAAAAACAGTTTTTCGGGGGAGAAGTTAGGAAGTACTATAATAATTCCTGTAGACATTGCCATATAGATGCACACCTCCCTTCTCCATCAGCCTTCTTGAGAAGTTAAACACCCAAAGCAAGGTTTATTCATTGCCATAGGACACACTGGTAAGGCAACCCAATCTTTCTTTTTCTTTCTTTCTTTCTTTCTTTCTTTCTTTCTTTCTTTCTTTCTTTCTTTCCTTCCTTCCTTCCTTCCTTCCTTCCTTCCTTCCTTCCTTCCTTCCTTTCTTTCTTTCTTTCTTTCTTTCTTTCTTTCTTTCTTTCTCACACACCGCCCAAGCAGGAGACCCTACACCATTTCTGACAGATGGCAGTCCAGTCTCTTCTTGAAAGCCTCCAGTGATGAAGCTCTCACAATGTCTGAAGGCAACTTCTGTTCCATTGGTTGATTGCTCTCACTGTCAAAAAAATTCTCCTTATTTCCATATTGAATCTCTCCATGATCAGTTTCCATCCATTACTCCTTGTCTGGCCTTCAGGTGCTTTGGAAAATAGCTTGACCCCCCTCCTCTCTGTCACAGCCCCTCAAATATTGGAAGATTGCCATCATGTCTCCCCTGGTCCTTCTCTTCACCAGACTAGCCATGCCCAGTTCCTGCAATCGTTCATTGTTATGTTTTTGCCTCCAGTCCCCTAATCATCTTGGTTGCTCTTCTCTGCACTCTTTCTAGAGTCTCAACATCTTTTTTATAGTGTGGTGAACAAAACTGGATGCAATACTGTAGGTGTGGTCTTTCTAAGGCTTTATAGAGTGGTATTAATACCTCACTTTATCTTGATTGTATCCTTCTGTTTATGCAGCCTAGAACTGTGTTGGCTTTTTTGGCTGCAGCCACAGACTGCTGGCTCATATTTAAGTGGTTGTCCACTAAGACTCCAAGATCCCTCTCACAGTTACTGCTATTAAGCCTGGTTTCACCCAGTCTATATGTATACTTTGGGTTTTTCTTGCCTAAGTGTAAGACTTTACTTTTCTCTTCTTTCTTTCTTTCTTTCTTTCTTTCTTTCTTTCTTTCTTTCTTTCTTTCTTTCTTCCTTCCTTCCTTCCTTCCTTCCTTCCTTCCTTCCTTCCTTCCTTCTTTCTTTCTTTCTTTCTTTCTTTCTTTCTTTCTTTCTTTCCCATCTTTATTATTTTACAAATAACAGAATAACAGAGCTAAATCTCTCCAGCTGTGGCAACGTGGTTGGCATGACCATGGAATGCAGCCGTAGCATTAGATCTAGGTTATTTTTTATGGTTCCTTTGAGGTCGTTGGCCTTGTAAAGCTGTTATAGAGGGGGAGAGTGGAGGCAGGAGGGTAACAAGCTGCACTGCAGATGTCTCTGGGGCCGAAGGAAGGACCTCGTTCTTTTGAATGAAATGAACAAAATGTCTAAAAGTTATGATACTTATGTAGTCTCATCCTGGATATAAATTGTTTCAACTCCTACCCTCAAAACGACGCTATAGAGCACTGCACACCAGAACAACTAGACACAAGGACAGTTTTTTCCCCGAACGCCATCACTCTGCTAAACAAATAATTCCCTCAACACTGTCAAACTATTCACTAAGTCTGCATTGCTATTAATCTTCTCATCGTTCCTATCACCCATCTCCTCCCACTTACGACTGCATGACTGTAACCTTGTTGCTGGTATCCTTATGATTTATATTGATTGTTTCCTAGTATGATTTGATTGTTTATTTGTTCCCTATGACTATCGTTAAGTGTTGTACCTTATGATTCTTGACGAATGTATCTTTTCTTTATGTACAGCCCGTTTATGTCCGGCCCATTTTGGATGCAGGTAAGTGTAGGGCACGCATGGAAACTTGGGGAGGGTGAAAAACATGCCTACCAAAAGTTCAGGAAGGCTGGAAATGGGCCCAGCCTCCAGAGGGCCTTTGGAGCCTGGGGAGGGCAAAAACGCCCCTCCCCCATGGTGCAGGAGGTTGAATAGGCCACGCCCACCATGGCCATGCCCACCCAGCAACCGGGCAAAGAACCTCTTGCTCAAATTTTTGAAGCCCACCCCTGGACACATGATCCCTGACAGTTGTAAGTGTGAGGATTGGTCATAAATTGCTTATTTCAGCAGGACTGTAGCTTCAACCAGTCACTAAACAAACAGCTGTGTCGATCCATAGATACTTTGAAAAGTAGGAGTCTGATCCATCAACTAATCGTTTTTCTCCTTTGCATTCCAGATGGGCATCATTCTTTTCTTGGAATCTTTTTAATAGCAAGAGTATTATGCACTCGGTAGATTTAAAAAAAACAAAAACAAATCTTCATTCACCTCCTATTTCAAAGTAGGAACGTGTTTCTTTTCTTCCCCCTTTTCTAAAGTGCATTCGTTTACTTTTATCTTTGGAACAACTCTCCCTTCTTCCCACATAAGGAAGTCATCTAGATAAGAGGGCCCTGTTCCTCACTTGCATAACAGATAAGCTAATTGTCGGATGTGCCCTTTGGAGATAAGGGAATCCCAGATCTGTGTGAACGAACATGTGTTCCTGGGAGGCTGAGATGTCGAATGGCAAGACAAGGCAAAGAGATCCTCCACCAGGAAAGCCAAGTATCAAGTTCAGGATTTTCTTCCCGTTATCCAGGTTTCATCAGAAGAGCACCTGAACGATAAAGCCACAGCTTCGTTTCCTAAAAGAGAACAGAACAGAATAACAGAGTTGGAAGCAGACCTGGGCAGTCCTGAAATCCAATTTTTTTACTACCGGTTCTGTGGGTGTGGCTTAGTGAGCGTGGTGTGGCTTGGTGGGCGTGGCAGGGAAAGGATACTGCAAAATCGGAATGGAGAGTGAAAACAGCCTTCCTCACCACCACCCCCGGAGGCCCTCTGGAAGTCGGAAACGGCCCATTTGCCGACTTCCGGTGGGACTGGAAGGCCTGTTTTTTGCTGTCCCCAGCCTCCAGAGCCTCTCTAGGAGTCTGGGGAGGGCCAAAACAGCCTTCCCCAGCCCCTCCGGAGGTCCTCCGGAGGCCGAAAATGGCCTGTTTGCCAACTTCCTGTGGGATTGGCCTATATTGTTGTTTCCAACCTTCATGGTAGAGGAACACGTTCAGAAAATAAAATGTGAGGAGGGGGCATTATTTATTTATTTATTGTTTGATCGGCATCTCCCCACCTACAGAGTTTAAGGCCGTAAGCAGCATCAGCAGAATCCTAAAACGAAGGCCATCCTCAAGGAAACCGAATCAAGGAGAGAAGCAACCTGGAATTTAAAGAGAAACTTCCTAACAGTGAGAACAATTGACCCGTGGAACAGCTTGCCTCCAGAAGTTGTGGGTGCTCCATCAATGGAGGTTTTTTTTCAAGAAAAGATTGGACAGCCATTTGCCTGGAATGGCAGAGGGTTGAGCCTGGGGAGGGTTAGACTAGAAGACCTTCAAGGTCCCTTCCAGCTCTATTCTGACACAAATTGTTTGTGGGGTGGGGGGAACAGTTTCTGCCTGTTTAGGGCAGTGTCTTGCCAGCAGTCTATAAATTGTCTGTGAAGGGAAGGAAGGGTGGGGAGTGGGTTCCCTCCCTCCTTTTCAGACATCGATGGGAAATTGCTGATTGGATCCTGCACCTCCGTCCTCCTGCCACCCACCATGCACACCTGTGGCATCTGGAAAAGATCGGAATGCCCCAGACAAAGAAACACCAGATCTCTTCTGCCTCCCTGCCCCTCCCCACCCCCATTGACCAGCTCTGTCCCTTTGCATTTGACAGGCGCACGGGAGCAGGTCCTCATCCCCTCCAGCCCCAAAGGACGAGAAGGTCCTCCTTAATGTTCACACATCCCTTGCTTTCTCTCGCCCTCCCTGTTCCCCACCCCACCCCCCCCAGCCCGAAAACCATCACTCACCAGACTTTGATTATGGCCACAAAGAGACTTTGGATGAGCCATGGCCAAGCTGGAGCTGGAGGAGACAGATGATGAAAGAGCTGTCAAACGGGATTAAACAGTAGCTGTTTTCCTCCTGCGACTGGAAGCCGAGCAACAGTGGGGGAGGTTGTAAGGCCATTGTAAAGAGCTTCTCTCCAGCTGGAAACAGGACAGGACTTCGGGCTCGAAGTCACGTGGAGAGGAATGCGGCCGATGGGGAAGAACATCTTGTGAGCGGTCACCAGGAGATGGCAAGTGAAGATAGCGAGAAAGCTTCAAGAGGCACAAGGGACTGACAGAACGATAGACGGTAGATGTTGTGTATTGGCTAACTAGTGGTTTTACTCTAGAGAGGAAGGGGAAAAAAGCATGATGAATTAAGGAAAAGCTGATTTCAGCTTTCACGTATCACTTGCAATGAGTTGGGCAGCTTGATAGGATCAAGTGAGAAATGAATAAATTTCCTTCAAAGTGATCTGTTTTGTTTCGTTTTGTTGTTTTGTTTTGTTTTTCCAAAACAAGAATGGTGGAATTCACACTAGGATAATGGAGAATGGGAAAAATTGCTCTGCTCTCTTCCTTCCTCTTTTTCTTTCTTAGTTGCTTCTTAGAGCTTTGTGAGCTCCTCAGAAGTAGTAGTTGGAAGAACGGATCCTTTCGGGGTCATCCTGAACCACTTTGGGCTTGTTTAGATAGCCCCTGTCCATCCCACTGGAATATGATCCATCAAAGAAAGAAAGAATGGTCTTAATGAGATCACTGAGAGGGATCTTGGAGTCCTAGTGGACAACCATTTAAATATGAGCCAGCCTTGTGCAGCAGCTGCCAAGAAAAGCCAACACAGTTCTAGGCTGCATAAACAGAGGGATAGAATCAAGATCACGTGAAGTGTTAATACCACTTTATAATGCCTTGGTAAGGCCACACTTGGAATACTGCAACCAGTTTTGGTCGCCACGATGTAAAAAAGATGTTGAAACTAGAAAGAGTGCAGAGAAGAACAACAAAGATGATTAGGGGACTGGAGGCTAAAATCAGAGGTGGGTTTCAGCAGGATCTGACCAGTTCTTGAGAACCAGTAGCAGAAATTTTGAGTAGTTCGGAGAACCAGTAGTAAAAATTCTAACTGGCCCCGCCCCCATCTATTCTCTGCCTCCTGAGTCCCAGCTGATCGGGAGGAAATGGGGATTTTGCAGTAACCTTCCCCTGGAGTGGAATGGGAATGGAGATTTTACAGTATCCTTCCCTTGCCACACCCACCAAGCCACACCCACCAAGCCATGCCACGCCCATCAAGCTACACCCAAAGAACCGGTAGTAAAACTTTTTGAAACCCACCACTGGCTAAAACATATAAAGAAAAGTTGTGGGAACTGGGTGTGTCTAGTTTATTGAAAAGAAGGACTAGGGGAGACATGATAGAAAGTCTTCCAATATCTCAGGGGCTGCCCCAAAGAAGAGGGAGTCAAGCTATTCTCCAAAGCACCTGAGGGCAGGACAAGAAGCAATGGGTGACTTTTACTTAGTATGGGAAAAGTGGTATAGTTGGTTGAAAGATAGGAAAGAGATGAAGCAATAGGAAGTAAATAAAATGACCAAATATAATATGATGGAAACAAAGAACAAACATAGATTAACAAAGATCAATATTAGATAGATAAAAGGGAATGACCAAATAAGGAAGAATACAAAGAGAAATGTATATTATAGTTGCGACAAACTGGACATGTATTGAAATGGATGTTTATATGTTTTTATGTTTTGTACGTTTCATTGTTCTGTTTAGTTTATACTTATAAATAAAAAATGGAGAAAAAAAAAAGAAGCAATGGGTAGAAACTCATCAAGGAGAAGCAACCTAGAACTAAGGAGAAATTTCCTGACAGTCAGAACAATTCATCAGTGGAACAACTTGCCTCCAGAAGTTGTGAATGCTCCAACACTGGAAGTTTTTAAGAAGATGTTGGATGACCATTTGTCTAAAGTGGTGTAGGGTTTCCTGCCTAAGCAGGGGGTTGGACTAGAAGACCTCCAAGGTCCCTTCCAACTCTATTATTCTATTCTATTTTAATGCTAAGGTCTTTTATAGGGGTCTCACCTCTAGAGAATAGAACATACAGGTAGTCTTCAACTTACAACCACTCATTTAGTGACCGTTTGAAGTTACACCGCACTGGAAAAAAGTGACCTATGACCATTTTTCACACTTACAATCATTGCAGCATCCCCATTGGTCACCCAATCAAAATTGGCAACTGGCATGTATTTATGACGATTGCATTGTCCCGGGATCATGTGACCTCCTTTTTTTTTTGTGCCCTTCTGACAAGCAAAGTCCATGTGGAAGCTAGATTCACTTGACTAACTTAACAACTGCAGCGATTCACTGAACAACTGTAGCCAGAACGGTAATCAAATGGGGCGAAACAACCGTCTCAATTTAGCAATAGAAATCTTGGGCTCAATTGTGGTCATACGTCAAAGACTACCTGTACTGGGGGGATCAGACAGGGTGACACAACATGTGAGAGAAATTTACTGGGGGCTTACATCAGGCCATCTGGCTGGTGTAGGAGATGACCAGGCTGAGCCTGATGGCGGGGTCAAATGCATCATCAGTCATGTGTCCCTTCGTGCCCACTAAGAGATCTAAGTTTGAATTTCTTCTATTCTTATCTCCCGTTAATTTCCCTTGACTGTTAGTAGTTCAGATTCTTGTAGAGAGCTTAAGCTTACAGTAAATCTTTATACATATTTGAACTGCCCAGATCTCCTGATTTCCCTGGTATTTGACTGCTGGTCCGTGGATGCTGAGCCTACCCAATAAATCTGCCCCTCCTGTCCCTCCATCTTCTGAATTCTGAGCGAAGTGTGGTCGCTCAGTGGGATTCTCCCCGCCAAGCGGGAACTCAGAGATCCAAGTCGGAAATAATGTAGAACATCATCCAGCTCTCCACGTTTCCTGGAGAGAAGAAGAAATCGCACCCTGGGAGGCAACCGAAGCAATATTTTCCTAACTTGGCATGTCTCGTTCCTCCTCGCAAGTCAGTACCCCCTACTTTGGAAAAAGCAGAAAGAAAAATGTTAGTATTAAAACATCCCCCATTGTTCGGCTGCTGGTTTTCTTCCCAAACACGCCCCGATTACCACCAACATCCAAATGAGAAGGGGAGGGGGGAAAAAAGAGGAGAAAAGCGAATAAAAGGCATTCTGTAGTCTCACTCAGGCCCTTTTCTCCACCCTTTCGGCTCCTGCGCCAGCTTTTTGAGCCGCCAGACAAAAAAAATTTGAAGGCGCAAAAAAAACAAAAAAAAAACCACAGAGAGAGAGAAAACGGAGAAGGCCATTCACCGCCATCTTCTCAATGGCCGACGCCAGGTTCTCACAGCACCCTCCTTTTACAAACATTTGTCACGGGCCTCCCTCACAAAGGCGAGAGGGAGAAAGAGACAAGGAGGAGAGGAAAGGGGGTGGAAGCGCAGAGGGGAAAGGGTGAAAGGAACAGGTTGGCCCTGTTGGAAGGAGAGAAAGGCGAAGGAGAGGAAATAAATAAATAAACAGCTCAGACATCGGGCGGTCCTTTTTGGAGATGTCTGCTTGGGAAAGACTGGCATCCCAACCGAAGCTGAATTTTAAATTGGGTGCCATACAATTGGCTTGGTTTCCCTCCCACCCCACATCATTGTCATTTAGGGGGGGGTGTGGAGAGAGGAAGCTGTGTCCTCCAAACAGCCTGATGTTTATTCATGAGTTGTCCCAACGTTTTCCATTCCCGGTTCATTGTCTTCGGTTATCGATCACGAGCGATCAGGGTGGGAAGCGTCTATTGAGCATGGTGAAAATGGCTGCAGGGAGGAGGCATTAAATGAAGAGGTGGAAGGAGGCAGGAAAAGGGGTGGGGGGGCCAAGATGGAGAGGAACAGGTGTCATCTGCCTGCTGATCAAACTTCCTTCCTTCCTTCAACCTGGCTATCACACGGTGCAGTGGCAAAAGGCTGTGTTTTGCTGCAACGTCTCCAAGAAAAAAAAAATTGGTTACAGACTTATAGCTGGCAATGTGTGCCAATTTTCTGGATCTCTCTAACCATTTTGGGAAAATTAGATTTACTCACATACGTATCGGCTCTCCAATCACAGAAACTAGGGAGTGACCCTAACTGTTTGAGAACGTGTATTTTCTTAACAGGGATGTTATTAGCCACTATTAATGTCAATACTATTGTTTAATATATTGTAAACAGTGATGTCTATTGCTGGTCTATGACCGTAATAAAGTTATATTCTATTCTAATTCTTCCTTCCTTCCTTCCTTCCTTCCTTCCTTCCTTCCTTCCTTCCTATTTCCTTCCTTCTTTCTCTTTCCTTCCTTCTTTCTCTTTTTTCCTTCCTTTCTTCTTTCCTTCTTCTCTCCTCTCCTCTTCCTTTCCCTTCCTTCCTTCTCCTTCCTTTCTTCCTTTCTACTTTCCTCTCTCTTCCCCTTCCTTCCTTTCTTCTTTCCTTCTTCTCTCCTCTCCTCTTCCTTTCCCTTCCTTCCTTCTCCATCCTTTCTTCCTTTCTACTTTCCTCTCTCTTCCCCTTCCTTCCTTTCTTCCTTCCTGTCTTAAATGATGATAAATCTCAAATTCTTGCTGTTCATTTGGACTCTTGATAATAGAGAGCAAACCCAACTCCCTTCTAGCATTGATGATGTTACCTAGTTGGGATAATGGAACATCTACAAAAAAACAACCAAGCTCAGGGAGCACCAAGAACCTCGCAGTTCCACCCCGAGCTACAAGTTTGCTGTTCTATTGGGATTCTTAATAAACCAGCCCTGAATTCTTAAAGGACAATGTTCATCGTTTCAAGGATTCGTGAAGAAAGAAGGATCAAAATTCTGCTACGGATTGGCTCACCTACTGTTCTAAGACCACCAGCTGCCCTGAGTAATCATTTCAAGATGATCAATTTCAAAACCCATTTAGTACGCACATAGAATTTGCTACCTGGGAAAGAGAGGAGAGAAACATAAATTGATGTCAAAATGACAAAAATAGGCGGAGGCCAGAATGCAAGCTAAGACTTTTTGAACTTGTGTTGCATCATCGCACACAACTACAAAGGGGGTCATTTCCATCTTGCGATATTCATTTCTATTGTCTCCGCCAGTCCTTGGAAGGCGCCAATAGTTTCAGTAATAAAAAAAAATAAGGGATTGTCTCACCCAGCCCCGTGGGTTGCCAACCAAGCAACCCCAATTGGGTCATCCTTGAAGAAATGGCCTTCAGCAACTGCTTCATATTTATTTATTTATTATTTATTACATGTATTTATATGCCGCCATTCTCCCGAAGGACTCAGGGCGGCGAACACAAGTTAAGAAACAAGTACAATAAAATCATAATTTAATCCAAATAATTAATTAGTAGTAAATAATAAAGCCCGGAATCAGTCTCAGCCTATTTGTTTGAAAAGCCAAGTCTTCAAGTCCCGACGGAAGGAGCGGAGATCAGGAGCCGTCCGGAGCTCAGTAGGTAATTCATTCCAGAGAACGCCCTACCCCTGGGCACAGCAATATTGAACAAAGATTTCCAATTTTTGATCTGATGTTGGACTTTTATTGTCTCGTGTGTACTTTAAGGCAATACCAGACAATCTTTTGATGACCGGGACATTTTATAGCCCTTTTTTTTTCTTTTTTGCAACATCTGAGGAAATTTCATAAAGCTTTGAAGAACTTCAGACACCAAATAGAGGTTGACATAAAGAGGAGGGGGGTCAACTTATTTCCCAAAGCACCAGAGGGCAGGACAAGAAACAATGGATGGAAATTAATCAAGGAGTGAAGCAACCTGGAATAAAGGAGAAACTTCCTAACAGTGAGGACAATTCACCAGTGGAACAGCTTGCCACCAGAAGTTATGGATGCTCCATCACTGGAGATTTTTAAGAAGAGACTGAATAGTCACTTGTCTGAAAGGATATAGGGCAGTGTTGGTGAACTTTTTTGGCACGCGAGCCGTCACCTTTTACTCTTCCGAGTTCTGGCGTGCCAGCCAGCGGGAGCACCGGAAACCGGAAGAGGAGCCACCCAGCGTGCATGCACATGCTGGGAAGATGATCTCCTGATTTCTGGCACACACATGCGCATCGGCCGCCTGGTCTTCCGGTTTCTGGCTCACATGCATGCACAAAGAACAGCTGGCCGGTGCACATGCAAATGCTGGAAACTGGAAGATCATCTTCCCAGCATGCACATACACACCAGGCAGTTGCTCTTTTGAATTTCGATGCTTCCGCATGTGTAACGATCAGCTGGCCAGCGCGCCGGAACCCGGAAGAGCAACAGTCAACGGCTCGCATGCCCGAAGAGATGGCTCTGTGAGCCACTTCCAGCACATGTGCCTTAAGTTCACCATCACGGATATAGGGTCTCCTGCTTGAACAGTGGATTGGACTAAAAGATCTCCAAGATCCCTTCCAGTTCTATTCTCACTTATCTGATCACTCTATTGATCCTCAGACAGGGGTGGGTTCTATTTACCTTTACTACCAGTTCGGCACAGGATCGCATGCACAGATCACCGATGACAACATCTGGGGCAGTGGGTGGGGCCTCCCACCAGTTTTACTACCGGTTCCTGCGAACCGGTCCAAACCGGGGGCAACCCACCACTGTCCCCAGCGTTGATTTGATTGATTTGTCTGGCTAGGTGGGTGTCTCCTTCCTCTTTCATTACTTCACGTGCATTGCTCCCAAACTTGTGCACTTCGTGGAAGAGGAAAACCATCTCAGATAGAAGGTGTGTACTACCCAGTGGTGGGTTTCAAAATTTTTTACTACCGATTCTGTGGGCATGGCTTGGTGGGCGTGGCATGGCTTGGTAGGTGTGGCAGGGGAAGGATACTATAAAATCTCCATTCCCACCCCACTCCAGGGGAAGGATACTGTAAAATCTCCATTCCCTCCCCAATCCAGGGGAAGGTTACTGTAAAATCTCCATTCCCTCCCGATCAGCTGGGACTTGGGAGGCAGAGAATAGATGGGGGGTGGGGCCAGTCAGGATTTTTACTACCGGTTCTCCGAACTACTCAAAATTTCCGCTACCTGTTCTCCAGAACTGGTCAGAACCTGCTGAAACCCACCTCTGCCGTGTACCAGTCTTTGAGCCAGCTACACATTACACCTGTTTCCACTTTCTACAGGCCTGTTTTCCCCATTTTCCTTACCACGTGTTTGTACCACGAGATGCACTTCCCTTGGCTACAGCATTTAAACATTGTGTGGGTTGTCTCGAAACTCAGAAATAACGAAACATGCTGGATTCACATGCTAAACCCCAAGATATGTTCATCAGAGTACAAACTCACCACCTTCCACGCATTTTCCAAAAAGGCAGCCTCATAAATCTGGTTCAATTTTTATGCGAACGTAGCGGTTGTGAAACTTTTGTCGAATCTTTTCATTTTTCATAATTATTCTTCCGCACCCGTCTTCAGAGAGGCTTAAAATATAAAAGACAATGGAGCCATAAGCATTAAACTGAATGTTCTAGTGGCAGATTATTGCAATTTTGGTTTCTTTAATGTTTCATATTGTTTAAAAAAGAATAACTAACCTTCCTTGAAAGTTAAATGCTCCAATAGCATCCAGCCCACCAATTCCTTTGTTTCGGACATTCCCCCCCCCCTTTTTTTTTTTAGTTAAGAACATTAACTTTGAAAGCTTATAGTCGAAATTATCTCTAATAAATGTCCCGAAGGGGGTAATTTTACCCTTCCATTTATCAAACTTAGTTGTAGGATAAATGCCTTACTCGTGGCAAGGAGGAACAGTAGAAAAAAAAATGAGCTGATTAAGTCTATTAATTTTCTAGCTCCCTCACAGATGTTCTGTGGTGTTTTTTTCCCCCTCAGGAATCGTTCTTTAAAAGAGAAAGAGCCATGGGGGAAAGAGCCCTGGTGGGGCAGTGGTCAGAATGCAGTATTGCAGGCTAACTCTGCCGACTGCCAGCAGTTCGATCCTGACCGGCTGAAGGTTGACTCAGTCTTCCATCCTTCCGAGGTGGGTAAAATGAGGACTCAGATTGTTGGGGAGCAATAGGCTGACTCGGTAAAGTGCTTAGAGAGAGCTGTGAAGCGGTATATAAGCAGGGGTGGGTTTCAAAAAATTTAGCCAGAGGTTGCTGGTTGGGCGTGGCTATGCTGGGTGTGGCCTAGTCGGCCTCCTGCACCACAGCAGGGAGGGGGCATTTTTGCCCTCCCCAGGCTCCGGAGGCTTTCTCCAAGCTTCCAGGAGAGTAAAAATGGCCTCCCCAGGCTCCAGATGCCATCTGGAGTTCCCGAACTTCTGATAGGCCCATTTTTTGCCCTCCCCGAGCTTCCGCGCGTGCCCTGCACTTACCTGCATCCAAAATAGGTCGCGTGGGGACTCCTGGGAGGGGAGGGGCAGGATGGGCAGGGCCAGCCAGGAGTGGGATTTGGGGGTTCTCCGAACTGCACAGAATCTTAGCTAGAGGTTCTCCCGAACCGCTGAGAACCCCCAGCAGCCCATCCCTCCTTGTATATAAGTCTAAGGGCTATTGCTATTGCTATTAGACAGTCCTCAGTGTCCCTCATCCGTTTGACACACTGATTTCCTTGTAGTGCAAGCTCACATTTCCTAGGCAATATCAGGAGATTTGTGGAGAAACCAAAGCAATCTTAGCTTGTTATATTTCTGCATCTCCCTTAAGGCTTATCAACGGCGAACTATGTTTTGCTTTAATTCTGCAATGGCCTCATTTTTTTTAAAAAAAAAACAAGTTTTATTGGGGCTTCCCCGCCCCCCCACATTCACTCACGTCTTTTTTTGAACAAAGTATTGGCCATATCTCATCTTTTACAATTTATCAAATTCAAATACATTTTACTCCATTACCATTTTTGCCACAATTTTCTTTTTTCCCTTTTTTTTAATCATATCTCAATATTTCTTTGCTTACTTATATAAACAGCATCTTCATTCGCCCTCAAATTCTAATTTTCCTGTTTCTTCATATTTATTCTCTTTTGATTTTTAACCATTCATTCTTTATCTTAATATATTTATATATGTTCGGGGTTGCCTTTCTTCCATTTCATCTTTTTTCTTATACAGCAATCTTTCTTCTCAATCCTGCGATCTCCCTCTCTTCTTTCCTTCTTACTTTCTTTTTCCCTCCTCTCCTACTCCTCTCTACTTCCTCTTCCTTTCTCCTTCTCCTCCTTTCTTCCTCCCTGTCTGGCCCTCTCTCCTCCTCTAATTTCCCCTCTCTTCCTTCCTCCCCTCTCTTCCATCCCTCTCTCTTCTCCCCTTCTCTTCCATCTCTCTACTCTCTACTCCTCTTTCATCTCTCTCTATTGCTGTATTCATTTTCAATTTAATATTTTCCACTATGGTGTCCAGGCAACCCCGATCTTTCTCATTTATTAAAGAAACTATTTAAAAAATTTAAAGGGGAAAAAAATGGAATAAGATGAAATATACTGTTTATAATTAAAAAGATAAGAGGAATTATGTAAAATATACTTGATAAATGAAAAAAATATACTAAGTTGAATATCTTCAATGGCCTCATTTTTAATCAACAGTGATCTACAGGTAGTCCTCGACTTAGGACCACAAATGAGCGCAACGTTTCTGTTGCTAGTTGTTAAGTGAGTTTTGCCCCGTTTTACGACCTTTCCTGCAACAGTTCTTAAGTGAATCACTGCGGTGGCGGTTGATACCCCCAGACTTATGGTCATGGGGGATTTCAACCTGCCATCCGTGGGTGAGGCGTCTGAGGTGGCTCGGGAGTTCATGGCTTCCATGACGGCCATGGACCTGACCCAACTAATTCATGGCCCTACGCACACTGGGGGAAACACACTGGACTTGGTTTTTGTCTCTGGACAGTGGTTGAGTGATCTCGAGATAGGGGATATAGTCATCGAGCCCTTGTCATGGTCAGATCACTCGCTCCTTCGCCTTGACCTTCGAACCGCAGCACCCCACCGCAGGGAGGCGGAACCGGTAAGATGGTACCGCCCCAGGCGCCTGATGGAACCTGATAGGTTCCAGATGGAGCTTGGGCCAATCCCGGAGGTTCTGGCTCACGCCTCATCTGGGGACCTAGTGGCCGCCTGGGATAGGGCGGCTGCTGGAGCCCTGGATCGAGTCGTGCCTTTGCGGCCTCTGACCCGGCGCCGATCTCGCCTGGCTCCTTGGTTCACCGAGGAGCTGAGGGAGATGAAGCGCCGGAAAAGACGCCTAGAGAGCTGTTGGAGGGCTAGTCTTTCTGAATCTGACCGAACAGTGGTAAGATCTTATATTAGGAGTTACCTAGTGGCGATAAAAGCAGCAAAATGTACTCATTTTACTGCTCTTATTGCGTCATCAGATAATCGCCCGGCCACCCTGTTTAGGGTGACCCGCTCCCTGCTCCACCAGGAAGCGCGGGAGGACCCCTTGCAGGGGAGAGCCGAGGATTTTGTTCAATATCTGTATGACAAAATCACTCAGATTCGGGCAGGTCTGGACTCTGACGGGATAGATCCAGCGAGGGTGACAGAGACAGGTCTTGAGACTGTTATCTGGGATGAGTTTGATCCTGTGACCCCAGATGACGTGGACAGGATTCTGGGTAGATTGAACGCGACCACATGTTTGTTGGACCCGTGTCCCTCCTGGTTAGTGCTGGCTTCCCGGGAGGTGACGCGAGGCTGGCTCCAGGGGATTATAAATGCTTCGTTGGGTGAGGGTGTCTTTCCCGCCGCCTTGAAAGAGGCGGTGGTGAGGCCTCTCCTCAAGAAGCCTTCCCTGGACCCGGCAGTATTGGCTAATTATCGTCCAGTCTCCAACCTTTGCTTCGTTGCGAAGGTTGTTGAGAGTGTGGTTGCGCGACAGCTACCCCAGTACCTGGATGAAGCGTCGTATCTAGATCCGTTCCAGTCGGGCTTCAGGCCTGGGTACAGCACGGAAACGGCATTGGTCGCGTTGGTTGATGATCTCTGGAGGGCTCGGGACAGGGGTTGTTCCTCTGTCCTGGTCCTGTTAGACCTCTCAGCGGCTTTTGATACCATCGACCATGGTATCATGCTGCACCGGCTGGAAGGGTTGGGGGTGGGAGGCACCGTTTTACGGTGGTTCTCCTCCTTTCTCTCTGACCGGTCGCAGTCTGTGTTGACAGGGGGGCAGAGATCGACCCCGAGGCCCCTTATATGTGGGGTGCCGCAGGGATCGGTTCTCTCGCCCCTTCTGTTCAACATTTATGTAAAGCCGCTGGGCGAGATCATCCGTGGTTTCGGGGTGAAGTACCATCTGTACGCTGATGACACCCAGCTGTACATCTCCACCCCGGACCACCCCAACGATGCCCTTGAAGTGATGTCCCAGTGCCTGGAGGCCGTGCGGATCTGGATGGGGAGAAACGGGCTCAGGCTCAACCCATCCAAGACCGAGTGGCTGTGGTTTCCGACGTCCCGATATAGTCAGCTGGCGCCATCGCTGGCTATTGGGGGCGAATCATTGGCCCCCACGGAAAGGGCTCGTAACTTGGGTGTCCTCCTGGACTCACGGCTGTCTTTAGAAGAGCACTTGACGGCCGTGACCGGGAGGATTTTTCATCAGGTTCGCCTGATTCGCCAGTTGCGTCCCTTTCTAGATTGGGACTCGTTACGCACAGTCACTCATGCCCTCGTCACCTCTCGTCTGGACTATTGTAATGCTCTCTACATGGGGCTCCCCTTGAGGTGCACCCGGAGGCTCCAACTGGCGCAGAGTGCGGCCGCGCGGGTGGTTATGGGAGCAACATGGAGCTCCCATGTAACACCTCTCCTGCGCGAGCTGCACTGGCTCCCGGTGGTCTTCCGGGTGCGCTTCAAGGTTCTGGTTACCACCTTTAAAGCGCTCCATGGCTTGGGACCTGGTTACTTACGGGACCGCCTACTACCATCAACAGCCTCCCACCGACCAGTACGCTCCCACAGAGAGGGGCTCCTCCAGGTGCCGTCGGCCAAACAATGTCGGCTGTCGGCCCCTAGGGGGAGAGCCTTCTCTGTGGGGGCACCGACGATCTGGAATGAGCTCCCCCCAGAGATACGGAGGATTCCGGATCTGCGCACCTTCCGCCGCGAGTTGAAGACGCTTTTGTTTCATCAAGCTGGCCTCGCCTAAATCTTCTCCCTTTTAAGTGTAAATTCTAAATTTTTAATGGATTTTAAAATATGGGTATTTTAAATTGGGTATTAATTCAGCCAAATTTATTTAATTCATTTTATTCGATTTTAAATTTTGTATATTTATGTGTTTTATTTCATGGCTGTGCACCGCCCTGAGTCCTTCGGGAGTAGGGCGGTATAGAAATTCAATAAATAAATAAAT